GTATGTTTCATCTTGATACCTCGAGAAACTAGTACCGTAAAACAAACAGTTTCGTGCCTCCAGTCAAACTGTTTATAATTACTCTTCTCCATCCAAAGGTTGCCTGGAAGAGATCGCTCTTAGCGATCGATAGAGGCCGCCCATTGTTTTCTCACTGTGATCATTTCTTGTAAATGTTTGTATTTATAAAAAGTTTACTATTGTAATCTTATGGAGGAAACAATAAAGAGTATCTACCTATCTGTATCTATCTATTATATAAAAATATTCTCCTATGCAAATACGTGCACTAGTACATCCAATAGAAAGTACTAAATGCAATCACGTGCATCGAACGTGTTAAATCTTGTTACAAGTATATCAGATAATCGATTCTAAACAGTTATCTTCATTTATTACATATTTTGTCGTTTCATTATCTTTCTAATTAATCTAGGTTTCTTACATTAAACTATTATAAATTATTACTTGTTTTGTAATGAAAACTCATCTGAGAAAGAAACACGTTTATACATATTTCCATATAAGTTTTGTTCTCGTATGATGGGCGTCATCAGCATCATCAGCCGTTATTTTATCATCACAACTGCTGCACCTGCGGTCCTGAGCCACATGCATTCACTGACTCCCTGCAATGCATTTGTCATTCCGTTTAAAGGAGAGTCGACTTACACTCCGTTTGCTCGAACCTGGTCGACACTGAAGAACCTTTCATCTCCAACCATGTCGGTTCTGCGAGCTATTTGACCAGTCTATTATCACTTCTGCTTGCATATTTTTGGGTTATGATTTGAACATATATAACCACCCAAACCAATAGAAAGAGACGCATGAATTCAAATATTTGTACTGTGAGGAAATTGATCCTACTACCTTAAATCGCGTGGGGAAGGAGTTGGTAATAACGCGGACTACTAGCTCCTTTGTAAGAATATGCCCAACCTGGTCGACTTTCACGTGGTTCAGTGGAAACCGTCGTACTGAATTTAACGGGTTTACCATTCCATTATCATCCATTAAAAAAATCATAAACCGGAAAGGGGAAGGGATTGATAGTAATGGGGACTACCAGCCCCATTATAAGTAATTAACCGTGTCAAGTCAACCTCCCTGACGATTTTGATATTATATTTGTTGTATTGACAACTTAGTACCACAGTCAACAAATAATAGGGGGAAAGAGATTATTAGTAATGGGGCTTTAATAGCCCTATTGCTAACAATATACTCCATCATGGTCGACCTCCACGCGGAAACCATTTTGATTAATAATTTATGAATTCATCATTATGGGCCAACTGACCTGTTTTATTCTCATCTGTCTCATCCCCCACTGGTTTCCCGCCAGCGTATACCGATATACAGGCAGGGTTTCCCGTATCACCAATCAACATATAATAAATACTTTTGCTGCAGTAAAATATTACCATTATTATCATATTTGGCACATCGACAATTAAAATTTAAGTACACGTGGAAACCTTGATCAGAATTGATGTACGGCTAATGGTTACTATGCAAAAACTAGCCGAAATCTGCAAATGACCTACTTTATCATAGTCTCACAAGCAAACAAAATTAAACCTTAACGGCCTCACAAAAAAAGCCGTGTCTCTCTAATCATTCTTAGAAACACCATCTCCATAAACCCACCAACCAATAAGTTTATAGAGTTCAAATTTCTTTGTACATATTACAGCGTAACCTTCCGCAATCGCTGTCGACCTCGCTCCTATCACGTTCAAGGTTCGGTTCCGAGTTGCGGCAACACATTTTGGACCTTATACCCCCCATTATAATGTCCAAATCTGTCACTATCACTCATAAGAGTCGCGATGAAATTTCGAAATTCACTGATGAGCTTTATTATTCTTCTAAGTAGAAATTCGTACATGAGTACAAAAGTGATTGTTTGAATTTAGAAAGGTTTTATATTGAATAGACAAATTTTTTTTTTTTTTTTTATAATCTATAACTTATTAAAATTTACTGTTGATACTTGATTGGTAATTAAGATAGTGTATCATGTACTTTGTTCTGGTCATTTATAATCTATAGTTCTATTACTATAAAGCAGTGATCTGACAGCAAATTGAAGTGTTCGGCCTCATCTTTTTAAAAAAGGGCGTTCTCAATTCGGTTGTATTTATTTTATGTATTAACTCATAATTCCGTCAGTTGTAAACCGATTTTAATAATTCTTTTTTAATCTGAAAGTATATATTTACATATTGGTAACATAGAAATTTTAGCAAAATCTCTTTAGTAGTTTAGTTTTTAAATCAAATCTTTAGTTGTCACAATTGAAGTCTTTTTTTTTAAATTATATTAATGCTTTATTTTTTAATTTTATGTCTAAGAGACTGTAAATATCAGATACCTGCGAGAGAAGAGATTTTTGTAATGGGCAATATAATAATAGTCTAATCAAGTCGACTTCTGTACGATCTTCCCTGGAAGCCATCGCTGTTAGTTCATGTTGATTTCGTCATGATGGGCCAACTGATATGCTTTCATCCTCACTTTGTCATCTTTCACTGGGTGTCCCGCCGTTGTATAACCGTTAGCGTGAGCTGGATTGCCATTCCATTGTCATCTCATTAAAAAGAAGACCAGTCCAAACGGAATATTTTCTCCACAAAAAAAAACCTATGTACCTCATAGAAGGATAAAACAATATCGGGCCTCCTGTACTAACAGCAGAACGTACCTTATTAGTATGGGAGGCACATAGTTTTCTGTTCTTTCTACTGGAATAAGATAATTTCATTCTTATCGTAGGATAAAAAAAATTGCCAGGCGAATTGTGTTCAATAAATGAAACTACGTTTTATTAATTATGTACTAGTATAGTATTTTTGCAATTGTAATGTTATATACATACCTTAATATCAATCGGTCGCCAAGGTTTCTCCCGCGGAAGCACCGCGTTCGTCCCTCTTCGGCTAACGTCGGCAGTCGTCGGCTCCCCAGAAAAATATTTACATACGATTATTGTTGCTACGTTCATAATTATCTTGTTTGTCGTGAACAATTTACTTTGATACAGTGTTTGTTTTTTTTTTCTCAAACTCTGATATAATATAAAAACAATAACAAACAACAAAACTTGGATCAATTTCGATTCTCTAAAATTACATATAACGTACTTGAAAAACAACATTTGTCTAAAAATTTAATGGCAATTTCAAATACTAATTCTAATAAATATAATACTGTTCGAAAAACAGAATTCGAATAATTAAATGTGGAATGTCTTTTTAACAAAATAAGAATGGATAAAATGTATAAATCACCTTGATTTACAACGGTTTTTATATAACTTATTACTTTTGTATTATTAATTTTTAAATGACTAAATAAAAACCGACATTTGTTGATATTTGCTAATTGTGCCAAGTTTAAAATTTTTTTAAACAATATTCTGGGACAATGTTGCCCAATAAATACTTACAGCTCAACAGATACTCTTAATTTTGCTGTGTAACTGACTTTAAGGACAAAATGGTCAGTTTAACTTTTTTTTTAAATTTTACATGCATTAGATTACAGTATGGGTTCTTCAAAAAGGACGTATTAAGGTGACTAAGGGTGGGTGAGGGATGGGTAATAGCATCACTCTTAACACATCTCCAAAGCCTAACCGCGGTTGCCAATCTGCCTACCAAGCGTGGCAACTACTGGCAAAACCTCCCCTAACAGAAGGTTTATGTTCAGCAGTGGACAGTACAAGGCTGATGATGATGATGATGAATACATAGGCTCATTACCCATAATGATGCACATCCTTGAATGTTAATATAAAATATAAACCATAACAAGGTAACGCGACCTTCTGCAAAATGATAACTTCACGCTCCATTTCGTGCGGGGGCAATCAAACTGCGATGTAGCTCGCTGTTCGGAACGAATGATAAGCTCGATTTGTTTATAAAATAAATTGAGTGAAGAAAGGTGAAAGAATACAGTTCAAGTCATACTTTGCGTATTTTTAAAGGGGTGGTGGTACTTGAAGGCGACGGTGGTAACGTTGAAACTTCACGTTGTACCCGAAGGTGAATAGGTGTTGATGGGGAAAACGGATTAATTTAATAAAGAAATATTGGATATAAAAAGTAATACCGATTTCTATCGTGGCTTAACGAGTTCTTTTGATTTAAATACTCAACTATTGAACCGACTTTTATAAAATCTGAAAGTAGGTATCCTTATGCTCTTTCAGTTAAATAATTTCTCTGAGACTAATCTGAAAGTATAATTTACCAGCTCCATTACTAGCAATATACCCTATCAGGTCGACCTCCACGCGGTTCTCCCTGGAAAGTGTCATAGTTAATTCTTGTGGAATTTATCACGTTGGGCTAACTGGCCTGCTTTCATTCTCACCTATCATTCCTCACTGGTGCCCCGCCAGCGTATACCGATAGCACAGGCGGGGTTACTATTTCATTATTGTCTCACAATCTGAAAGTAGACACTTTATTTATTTATTTATTCATTGGTACATATATGTGTACATAGCGGACTTAATGCTAAAAGCATTCTAACAAGAAATGATTTTTCAAAATCGGTTTATAAGTGACGGGGTAATGAAGTAACATAAAAAAAAAACTTGAATTGAAATCCTCCTTCTTTTTTTGAAGTCGGTTGAAAATGAATTGATTTAATAAATAATAATAATATATGTAATCGCCAAGGTTTAATTATTCTTCATCATATCAGGCGTTACTGTTCACTGCTGATCATAGGCCTCCCCCTATTGGGGGGAGTTTGTCAGTAATTGCCACGCTTGGCAAGCAGATTGGCAACCGTAGTTATGTTTTAAAAGTAACGCCACTGCCTATTCTTCGACCCATTAAGTTCCTTTAGTCGCCTTTTGCGATACCCACAGGAAAAGATTGGGTGGCTCACTTTATGCTAGGACAAGATGGCAAAGATTTGATTATTGGTAAGAAAATACAAATATATCTAAACTAACACGTCCGTCTGTTTGTTCTCAGGCCGTCGACTGGTGGTCAGTGGGCGTGCTCACTTACGAGCTACTGACGGGCGCGTCGCCGTTCACGGTCGAGGGCGAGAAGAACACGCAGCAGGAGATCACAAAGCGCATAGTCCGCTGCAGCTATCCCGTGCCCACGGACGTCAGTCCGGAAGTACAGGACTTCATTAGGAAGTAAGTGTCTAACATTTATTTATTTGTTTATTACTTCATTCAACTGCGTTCTGGTTATGTTTTTTTTTTTACAACACAAGGGGCAAACGAGTATGCGGCTCACCTGATGGTAAGTGACTACCGCCGCCCCTGATCGTCCACAAAACCAAAGACATTGCAGGTGAGCTGCCGGCCTTTTAAAAAGGAATATACTCTTGAAGGTTATGATGTCATATCGGTTCGGTACTGCTGCTGGAAGTTAATGCCAAAGAAATTATATTGTTAGCAAATAGACTGGATTCTTTCTCTATGAACCATTGCATTGCGTTGCATGTCGAAAGAACCCAGCTATATTAATTTCTAAAATATAATATAATTACTAATATAATAATAACTTGTAAAATATAAAAAGTGGGTTCTGGTAACCTTAATAAAGAATTGTTATTATTGTACACACTAATTATGCATAAAAACATGACGTAGGTAATCAAATGTACAAAGGCAAAATTAACTCTAAAAGAGTTCTCTTCTAGCAAAACCCAAAGTGGAAAGGAGTATCAATGTCAGCGGGTAGAGCGGTGTACAATATTGTAATAATTTTTAAACAAAAGAACTAGACAGTATCTGTTTTATATTTATTGAAAATCAAACACGAAACAAATTAATTCACCACCTATATATTTATAACTAGCTCATATTGACAGTGCTTACGGAAATTATTTTTTCCAATATTGAAAGTAACTTTGGAATAGCTTTGGTGGTTTTGTTTTTTTAAAAACCTTATTTATTTATTTTCAGGAAAACATACAGTTTGAATCAATCAATAATATATAGTCGAATTACATCTATCTTGAGTCGTGAATAGTTTTCACGTTTGCGAAGGGCTTGTAGGAGAATAACATTAAAAAAGTGCCTAGCTTAGACTAGTGCTTAGCGTAGCTAGCACTAGTCTAAGCTAGGCACTTTTTAAGCTAACACTATACATCTTGTATATGTATTTTCCATTGTGATTGTTTGTTTACAGGCAATAAATGTTTTCTATTTTATTCTAAAAAGAAAGATTATTTCAAACGATTCCGTTTTAAAACGCTTATCGTATTATCCATACAGGCTTCTAGTAAAGGATCCGCGCCGGCGTCTCGGCGGCGGCGAAGATGACGCGGGAGAATTGAAGAGGCATCCCTTTTTCCAGGTTAGTCATTGTGTTGGCTTCCTCCCTATCAACAATTGAGTGTTCATACGATTGAAGTAGTTTTTTTTTATGGAGCAAAGAACAAGAAGAAGGAGCAAAATATATAAACATGTAGTATGTAGTTTATTTACAGTTATTTTTGACCTGATTATGCTTACTGAACTGGACGGGAGAATTCAAAATTATTTACTGAAAAAAAAAAAAGCAATGAGAACTATTACAGTTTTATTCTATTCATTATCAAAAAGCGAGAACGGTACACCTATAGTAACCTAAGTGTACCAAACTGAGAAAAAAAAGACTCCTTGATTTCGAAATTCACTTATGTTTTTATTGCCCAACAGAATTTAGACTGGGAGGCGGTCGCACGCCGGGAAGTCCCCGCTCCATTCGTGCCTCAGCTCTCGCACGCGGCGGACACGTGCAATTTCGCCGACGAGTTCACCAGGATGCCCCCCACCGACTCGCCAGCGCAAGCGCCCAAACACCATGACAAATTGTTCCTAGGCAAGTACTGAAGTCTGTTTCGTTAAAACTTAATGGATATAATATAAACAAACGAATAAAGAGTCTACCGATGTTCAATAGTAGGACAAAGGGGGGAAAGGGATTGTTAGCAATGGAGTTTGAGAGCCCCATTGCTAGCAATATGCCTTATTAGGTCGACCTCCACGTGGTTCCCCCTGGAAACCATTGTGAACAATTCTTGTTGAATTCGTCACAATAGGCTAACTGACCTGCTTCATCCCCACCTATCATCTTTCACTGGTGCCCCGCCGGTGTATACTAATAGCGCGGGTGGGGTTACCATTCCATTATCATCCATTAAAAAAAAATACTAGGACAAATGAAAACGAATTAATTGTTTGGATGTTTCGATTTTAACATAGTTATTACCATATTAATTTACTACTACAATTGAAAGTGTTCTACCTATATTATATGTTGGAATTCTTCTCTGCAGGCTACTCATACGTCGCCCCAAGTATACTGTTCTCGGAAAACATAATATCTGATCAGATATGGATGCAAGCAACGGGACAAAAACATGACAAGCTAAAAGGATGGGTCGCCAAGGTAACTATTAATAAAGATCCTTCATCTCCATCCTGCATCCTCATCCTTACAGCCGTTAACTGCCCATTTCTAAACATAAGCTTTACCCACAGACTATCACAAGCATCGGTAATGAACCGTCTGTATCCACTAATTCCCTGAAATACATTTGCGGTTGTCGCTCCATCTAGTGGGAGGTGTCCTACTATTTATTTGTCTATACGAGATCACTGCACAACATATTTATTCAGAATCTGTGTTATCTTTGCCAAATTTGATCCGATTTTGATTATTCTTTTTGTAAACGATAATAATTCCATATTGGTCTCGTATTATTGTTGTCATCATAACTGTTTTTGTGTTTAAATAAAAATATTAATTATTTAAAATGCAAATTTTAAATAAATAATCCCTTCCCACATACAAGAGAGCCCTTCAATTACCTCTTTCAAGAAAAGGTTGAAGTTACATTTTCTTTCGTTTGAGCCGTAATCTTAATTTTTCATTTTTATAATTGAACTGTCAAACCTTAAAATCATTTAACTAAATTTCTATTGTAGGTAGTATATTCATTTATTTTAACATCTATTGTATAAGTAGGTAGGTATTATATTTATTTATAGTATATGTATTTATGGAATATTTTATTATGTATCTTAATATTTTATTTAACTGTATATTTGTTTATGTATACTAAATATTAATAGTTGTAGCACTTCAGCTGCCCGCTAACAACATGCTTTCTAACTGCATTGGGTTGACTGGAAGAGATCTCTGTCAGAGACAAGTCCACCCTTGCTCACAATATTTATAAATGCATTACCAATATAATTTACAAGTGCAATAAAGAATATATATAAATATATATTTTATTTTTCTTTTTTTTTACTTAGCGTCGATTTCTTTGCTCGCAGGACTCACCGTTCTTCCAGAAGTACGCGGTTGATCTGAGCACGCCACTGCTCGGAGACGGCTCATACTCGGTCTGTAGGAAGTGCATACACAGGCAGTCCGGCAAGGAGTATGCAGTCAAAGTAAGTTTCAGTATTACATTACTGCTAAACATAATCCTTCTCCATAATGGGGGATTTGCCAGTATTTGCCACGCTTGGCAGGCGGGTTGGCAACCGCAGTTAGGTTTTTAGAGATGTTTTAAGGGAGACGCTGTTGCCCATCCCTCGCCCTCCATTACCCACGAAAAATTACATTTTTACTAATGTATTAAAATTTGTAACTAGATGTCTCGCATCTTGGTAAAAGCCAAAACATTTTTTTTTTTTAATTTTGTCCTTTGTGTATGTGTACATTGAGTTTTTTGAGCTAAAGAAAAAAAAAACATTTCAATACTCAAAATAGATTTATTTGGCATTAAACGATTTTATAAATCAGTTAGAGCGTGACTATTTCTAATAAGGTTCCGTTCACGAGTATGACGGATGAGTGTTCCCTATTCGCTTTATGAAATGGAAATGACTGAACACTGAACTTTAATTTGTCTTTCACTAGATAATTTCAACTGAGAAGAAGGACGTGAAGCAAGAGATCGAGTTGTTGAAAGCGTGTCAGGGCTGTCCCTACATCATCACCCTGCACGAAGTAGTCCACGATATTGTGAGTCATCATCTATCTATTATCAACATCATCGTCATATCAGCCTTTAATTGTCCACTGCTGGACTTCTCCAGAGGGAGACTTTGTACAAAAGTCGATTGCTTGAGTACCTCGGTCCCATTCGTGTTTCCACCGTGAAACAGTTGTGTTTGCATGACTGTGTTTCGGTTTGAAGGGTGGAATATGGCGTGAATTTACTGGGTACACAGGAATAACACTTGAGTCCTCAGGAATGGCAACGCATGGGGGCTATCATGAGCGAAACAGTATACTCTGTTATGTCCATGGTACTGCTCATGTCTATAGGCGACGGTTACCACTTTCCATCAGGTGGGCCGTCAGCTTTTTTGCCATTCTAAGTTGTATAAAAAAACATAAGCCTCCTCCTGGGGGGGTTTTGCCAGTAATTGCCACGCTTGGCAGGCGGATTAGCAACCGCAGTTAGGCTTTGAAGATGTTTTAAGAGGGACGCTGCTGTCCATCCCTCCAGGAAGCTGTGGCCTATTCTATGCCGGGACCACACGGCTTAATTTATTACGATGGTCTAACTGACCTTCTTTCGTCCTCACCTTCACCTCACCTCATAGCACAAGAGGGCTTACCGTTACATTATCGTCCATTTAAAACACTTAACTATACATTTTGTTCCAGGCATTCACATATATAGTGACAGAATTGGCGACCGGTGGTGAGTTAGCCTCGGCGCTGGCTATCGGTGTGCCTGGTGAGAAGGTGGCCAGGCGACTGCTAACCCAATTAGCCCTTGCAGTTCGGCATATGCATTCGAAGAACATCGTCCACAGAGATTTAAAACCAGAGGTCAGTTGTCATGGACCATGTCGTTTATGGTTTATAAGAGATGGGAATGAACGCCCCAATTTAAGTAAACTGTGATATTTTTTTCTGGTTTCTAACCACAGTTAGAATTTGGTTATGTTTTAAAAGGGATGCTGCCTATCCCTTGACCATTAAGTTCCCTTAGTCGCCTCTTACAATACCTACGGGAAAGAAAAGCGCCGTCTATGCTAAGACCACACGACGTATTAAATATATAAAAATCTTTTTATGATATTAGTAAAATATCTAATTGCTTTTAGGAAGGGGTGGCCCATTCTATACCTGGACCGATACGGCGTAACAAATATACAAATATTTTTTTATAATATTAGTAATAGTAGTATAATATTAGTAGTAGTATCTAATTGATTTTTTTTTTTATTATTTTTTTAGAATATCCTGCTAACCAGTTGTCGACTGAGTGAGGCTAGTATCAAAGTGGTGGACTTTGGTTTCGCTCGCCGCATTCCCGAGTCGGAGGAGAGGCCGCGAATGATGACGCCGTGCTTCAGGTACGTACACCGCTTTAACTGTACTAAGGATGTCACAGGATATACTGTGACACCCACGATGCCGCTCAGTTTTGTAGTACATATAATATTTTTTATTACATAGATAAAACGATTATAAATATTCTGTGTGTGTTTTGAGGCTAATTTATTGATGAAGTAAATGGAATGGTAACCTTCATTCCGCTACCGGTATACGCTGGTGAGGCACCAGTGATGGGTGAGGATGAAGTTAGTTGGCCCATCGTGATGAATTCACCAGGAACCAATCACGGCGGTTTCCAAGGGTCATTGACGACATTGACAGAGGACTAATGGTTAATAATAGCTTTCAATGGGTTCGATACTCCTCATCACATTAGCTGTCCATTGCTGAATATAGGCTTCCCCATAAAGGCATAAGGGGTGTTTTGCCGGTAGTTGCCATGCTTGACAAGTAAATTGACAACCATAGTTAGGCTTTGGTGATGTTTTGAGAGCAACGCTGCTGGCCATCCTCTTCCATTAAGTTCCCTTAGTCGCCTCTTACGACAGCCACTCTAACGATACTCCCCATGTATATGTATAAATAGTTTAGAACTACAAATTATAGATAGATAGAAAGATACTCTTTATTGTTTCCTCCAAAAGATTACATTAGTAAACTTATTTATAAATATAAAAAATTACAATACATACATACATACATATATATATACACATATACATACATGGATATAAACGCCTACACAAATACATAAAAATATATAAATACTGTTCACGAAAAGTATGCAAGCAATAAGTATGCTAACCAAACATATAAACATATTAAGAAGATGACAACTTGCTCAAATAATAGTTCTTCAGTTTTGTTTTAAAACTAACCAGACATATTATATTTCGTATGGCAACTGGTAAAGCATTCCATAGTCGAACAGCTTGCACCGTAAACGATTTGTCATAAAAATGAGAGAAATGTACCGGAGTCTTCAGCTGGAGGCCCTCGGAAGACGTAAGATTAAAAGAATTGACGGTATGCAGGAATTCAAACCGCTCCTTCAGATAGTGAGATGAAGAAGATTTGAAAAGGACAAATTAGTTAATAGCTTTCTCACTAATTAGTAATAAAATGTATGGTATAGTCAGTGCATATGTATTTAATTCCAATATTGTTTCCCCATAACAGTTTGCCATACGCCGCGCCCGAAGTCGTCTCCCGAGCGCGAAGCAGCACTGCGCCCGGCTACGGGCCCTCGGTCGATCTCTGGAGTCTTGGCGTCATCTTTGTAAGTATCTAGATCTTATTTATATAACTGTTTCCTGCGACTTTGCTCGCCTTCATCAGCACATAAGGTATCCTATGTGTTAAGTGATAATATAATTTACTTGTATCATCGTCATCATCATCATCATCTTCCTACCTTTATCCCAATTATCATTTGGGGTCGGCGTAATATGGTTTTTATCCATATTACAAAAAGTTTTTTTTTTATACAACTTAGAGTGGCAAACAAGCTGACGGCCCACCTGATGGAAAGTGGTAACCGTCGCCTATAGACATGAGCAGTACCATGGACATAACAGTGTATACTGTTTCGCACATGATACCCCCCATGCGTTGCCATGCCTGAGAACTCGGGTAATATTCCTCTGTACCCAGTAAATTCACGCCATATCCCACCCTTCAAACCGAAACACAGCCATGCAAACACAATCCTATGCCGTTCAAGAGTGAGTGATCATTACTTATTATTGAGAGACGAGCTTCCCCCTTTTTTTTTTTCAATTAGTTGCTAATTCCTATCAATGATAGGTATTTTAGATGTTTTTGGTAGCTATATTTTTTAATTTCTCATAATATAAAGTTTATTTTTCAAAGGAGATATATCATTTATATATGGGTGTAGATAAATGGAAACGCTGTGCAATGTGCCCAGTGGTATTTGTTTATTGTACTCAAATAAATATAATACATGAATTACATTGTCAGTTTACCATCAGATGGTCTGTACGCTTGTCTGTCACGTTTGTGGAATTAAGAAAACTATTTGAATGAATGAGTGTACTTTATTTGCATTATACCAATATAGGAAATAAGCAAGACAATAAATGCAACGGTACAGTTGTATAAATACAGTAAGGCGGTCTTATTGCTGAGAGAAATCTTTTCAAGACAACCTTAAGGTAATGGACTAATTGTTGTACAAGTAGGTATGATAAGGCATGTGTTACTAAGCAAGTTTGGATGTTTGATTTCTATTTTTTATATTTATTGTAAAATCGTATCGCTTTTCAGTACTGCATGTTGAGCGGTAAAGCGCCGTTCCAACTGGTTTCCAAGAAAGAACCGGTAACAGCTCTAATGGATAGGATCCGAATCGGCAGCTTTAGTATGGATGGTAAGTGATCACTCATTAGTTTTATGCGCATTATTTATTTATTTATAATCTACTGATCTTATATAGATAGATAATTTATTTGCATATCTTTGTTTGATCTTATTGTGGTCAGTCAGTACAGATTAATATGCGATGCAAGTTGATAGATTTATGCATTTGGCGCCAATTTTTTTCTTTTTATACGTTCTCATTCATAGATTCATGCGTTCGAAATTCGTATTTATTGTATTATAATTTTGGCGCAAATTTAGAATCAATCGTAGAGTGACGTTGTCTACTTAGCCTATCTCTATCTCTGGCTTTAATACGTTAAGTGTATGGTAATTTCATTTCAATGGAATTTAATGAAAATTTAACCAAGTGTTGTTGAAATAATCACAAAAACTCTCTCTAAATTAAATGAATAACAAATCGAATCATTCAATTAATTGATTGATTATTATTTTGTATTACTATCGGACATCAGCAGACTGTCCTATGGTCGGCTCGTTTGTAAATTCCTAGCGACCAGCCCCGATTTTGCACAGATATATAAGTACAAAATTTACCAAAAAAGCATTTTTTTTTTTTATATGCATAGTAGACAAAAAAAAATCTTTCCAATTTCTAATATTAATTTAGAGGTCTGCCCCTCAATGTAAATAATATTACATATAGATGTAATAAGTATTGTCGCATAATGTTCCTTTCCTCGTGTGACAGGCGACGCGTGGGCGTCAGTATCGAGTAACAGTCGTCGATTGGCGTCGTCGCTACTGAGTGTGGACGAGTCGCAGCGGCCGTCGCCGTCGGCGCTGCTGCTAGCGCTGCACCACCACGACTCGCCGCCCTTCCACCTCTCGGTAAATATCACCCACCACCACCACCACCAATACCACCACCAATACCACGACCACCACGACAACCACTACCACCACCACTACCACAACCACCACCACCAACGCAACCACTACCACCACCACCACCACCACAACCACCACCACCAACGCAACCACTACCACCACCACCACCACCACCACTACTACCACAACCACCACCACCAACGCAACCACTACCACCACCACCACCACCACCACTACTACCACCACCACCACACCACCTCTACCACCACACCACCTCTACCACCACACCACCTCTACCACCACACCACCTCTACCACCACACCACCACCACTACCACTACCACCACCACTACCACCACCACCACCACCACCACAACCATTACCAGTACCACTACCCTTGCACTGTCACTAGACAGACATTCATTCACTCTCATATCGACACTCACAAACTGGCACTGACTCCTCGCACTCACACTAACACTTACACTCACATTCATACTACTACTGAAGTACTTTTGTGTTTAGATATTTTCATTTTATTACACGGTTAGATAGATAGATATATCGTTTATTTGTTTGTTACTAATCACACAACATGTTCATAAGAATAGATAATACATAATAAAACATAAGATTTATAAAATTGTGTTATTATGTGTGATCTGCAGCAATACAAAAAGGTCGAAGCTCAGCGTGTAACATTGTCCAAGGAACAAAACACTGATTTTCAGCTTTAACCCATTTGAGGGTACATGAAAATAATAATTAAAATAAAAAGAGTGATTGTCTGTGCGGTGTGTGTATAATAAAAATAATGTAAATAGTTCAGAGTATAATTTGATATAATTTTAACTGAGTGGTAAGGATAAAGCGAAAAAAAAAAAGAAAATATTTATAAGAGAAACATAGAAAAAAAAAAATATTAAAAATCATTACATGAGATTGCAACCGCTAGCCAAGAAATTTCTGTGGAATGCCTAAAATTTGTTTTTTTAATAAGTATTCTTTGTGATGTTTTTTAAAACTGTGTACGGTAGTCGGATGCCTAAATGGTGGCGGGATGTTGTTCCAACATTTTGTTGCTTGGTAGCGGAAGATGCCAGTAAATGCCACAGTTCTGTGTACTTGAAATGATAATTTCGAACAAATGAATCTGCATCCATACATACGTGAAGAGAAATTTAGTTTTTTAAAGAGATAAACTGGCTGTTCACTTTTTATTACATCGAACAATAGACTAGCCAGATGTAACTGTCTTCGCGATTCCATATTTAAAATTGAAGCATTGTTTAAATAGGGACTAATATGGCTTCGGGAGGGGAATATTAAAGCAAAAACGACAACATGCATTTTGCACTCTCTGAGTCAGACGTTGAGTTCTGGCTAATAGTCGTGGTCCATACACAATGTCTCCATAATCCGGTTCACTTCCTTGTATTCAATTTCCTTTAAAAATTAAATTTTAATGATTTATAGCATGTATAGAAAATCAGTGACATTGATATCAAACCGATTTTAAAGCCCCTATGCTCTATTACCTAATACATAAATGTCACTTTGTCTTGCCTTAATTTTTTTTTTTTTTTTTTGTATTGCCCGAATAAATATTTCTTCTCTAGTAGTAGATGCAGCACAATGTTTTTCTCATTTTATATCGACTTCGCATAACCCACCAATTTGTTTGCAGGACATGACCAAGGCCGAACTGTACAAGCGGCGCAGTAAGAATAAGCAGCGCTCTTCGAGTGGGTCCGAAGCTGGCACGTCGCAATCAGACCCACATTATGAGTCCGATGAGGTCAAGGAGACCTCTCTGCTCGAGACAATTGCAAACCTTAAGAATAGGATGAATAAGAACTCTATAGAGAATGATGTAGAACTAATAAAGGCAAACACACAAGACACACCTGTTGATGAACCCACAGAACCTCAGTTCGACGAGGATGAGATACCCTCAGTTAAGCCCGTTGAAAAGACATATGCTAAATCCAGGTCTAAACTGGACGACTATATCTACGTAGAGAGCAGTCAAGGTCTAGACGGAACAGAGGTAGCCTTCCCGAAGGCAACACGTAACACCAAATCCAAAGAATCAACTTCCCCCGTACCCAGGAAACGTAGAAAAGTCGAAACAAGACAGAGTAAGAAGGCGGAAGTGAACGGGGAGAGGTCACTGCGGAGTAAAGCTGAAAACGGAAGGAAGGCAAAGTCTAAAAGCCCTCCACCCAAACGAGTATTACGGAATCAGAGCATCACAGAAAAGAAGACTAGACCAACCAAAGAATCTATCGAGAACGAAAAGACAGTCGTGACTAGGACGACTAGGAAACGCAAATACGAGGAAACAACTAAACCTGTGCTGAGGGAGAAGGGTCAAAACGGACGGGCGACTCGGAAAAGTAGTTCAGAGAAAGCGGATACTACACGTAAGGTAGCACGAGCTAAAAAGACCAAAACAATGGCACCTCTCACTCTAGAAATACAAGAGCAGAATGTCCGCATGACACGTTCCAGAAGAAGGCGATTGGAGATCAGCTTGTCGCCGTCACAAGTGAAGAACGTGGTGCCGGCCTTCTCGTTCGAGTCGGACCGCCGAATCGACTCGATCGAGAGCAATCGATCAGCGAAATCGAATACCAAAGCGACCAAAGCGAAAGCGAGCAAAGCGAAGAAGACGCCCGTCAGGTCGACTCGGACCCGCGCGAATCGAAGGTGAAATAACGAGTGTAGAATCGATTATCGAATAGTGACGCAGTACGGACGCTTTGCTCAGGCATAGATTAAAAACAAATGAATAGAAGTTATTTATTCAAAAGAGCTAGTTATATAAAGCGTAGTTAGCATTCTAATTTGTCATGTAATATTTTTATTTTTTAATTCCTTTATTTAATGTTACTATTAATTTTAAGATACCTTCTTTCCAATGAAGTGTATTCTGATACGTTGATGTGCATATGGCGTTATTATGTTGTGCAAGATTGTATGTCTCACTTGATGCATTGACGTCACAAGCCAGCACATCTCTATTATTACCATTAGATTTAATTATTTCATTATGATTTAATAGATTAATTTAGGTTCAATCCGAGTGAAATGTTTTAGAAATGTGAAATGTTTAGCTGTCAAATGTAAATTGTTGATTACGAATAAAAAAATGTATAAATAAAATTAAAATAACAAAAAAAAAGACTAATAAAATTAATGTTAATATCAAATATACCTTATATATATAAGATTATTATACAACTAGCTAGTCTTCAGTATAAAGAATAATTATTTCGTGCTTCACCAATGGACTGTAGGAATCATACCCAGATATCAAATGAGATAAATTGTATATTTATTTCTGTGATGTATTGGATTTTTCTAAAATGATTCATTTTGGTTGAACCTACGTGTATAGATGAATACGGTGTGATTGATTACATCATCTTATCTCTGATTTGTTCAAATGTCGCCACTGAGTGTTTGTTTACAGTTGGCCACAGAAATATATGTATGAGATTATACATTTTGTTTAAAATACCAATATCTATATATTTGGCATCCCGATGCGATCAATTCTGAAACGCCACTTTTTCTAAACCTATGTCCAAAAATTTCAATTTGATATTTTTATTATAAGGACCAATATGAACTTAATTTTCTAATAGATTTAGCACAAAATTATTGTTAATTTTGTTTATGGTGGTAAAAAATAGTAATTTCGCAAAATTATCGAATTAAAATATTAGGTAAAGGGATGGGTTTGGAAAAATTGCGCATCAGAATCGACACCAATGAAAGCAAACTATTTGATATACTCCAATACACAATAATAAATAAATTCTAAATGTATTTACATTTAAATCCTAAAACCAATCACAATTAAATAAAAAAAAAATTCCAATCCTCTCATTGTAAACTTTTTAATATACTCCAAAGTTTGACCATAGATAAACACGAAAATAATGAGCAGTTAAACCCGAAAATAATCCATAAACCTTAAACCCATACACATATTCTGTACCTACCCTCTTAATAAAACCCAAACATGCATAATTTCTGTTTATCATCAACATATCGGCCTTTACCTGTCCACTGCTAAACGTAAACCTCCCCCTTGGAGCGTTCCGCCAGTAGTTGCTACGCTTGGCAGGCATAGACTTTAGAAATGTTTTAAGAGGCACGTTGCTACCCATCCTTCACCCTTTCCTATTTGCCTCTTATGACACCCACGGGAAAGAAAGGTGTGGCTCATTCTATGCCGAGACCGCACGGCAATTTGAACGGTAGTAATTTCCGTTGACACCTTTAAATTTAAAATAATTATCTTTTATTTTACATAATAATTAACAGATAAAGTAATAAACACAGCCGTAGCTAGAGGAGGGCATTGAGGAGCAATGCCTTACCTTGAAATGAAAGGTCTCAAGAAAATTAGATTCGCTTTTTTGAAATCACCTAATTATGACTTCTGCCCTACCAAAAAGTGCTTTTGCCCTACCTCAAACGTGGGTCTAATTACGGCCCTGGCCATAAGGCATTGAACTTACCAATTATATTCCACATATTTTATAATACAATAAATAAATAATCAACATATTATATTTTTCTGTAACTGATTGTAGATTGAAAGTCGCGTGTTGTCATTGGATTAGAAATTTGATAATCCGGTAGACAAATTGCAATATCAACAGTAGGCATGCGTAATATATAGCAATATCTATATTTAGTTATCTATATACTGGTCCAATAACGAAGATGTAGAAAGTCTGTTATCCAAAAAATAATATTGCATAACAGACTTTTAACATATTCGAAAATAGATATCCGAACGATATGGGCGATATCGAAATGGGTGACGACCTTTTCCCGCCATCGATGTCCAGAGAAACCCAATATATAGATATCGGATCGGTATTCATATTACCCACGCCTAATCAACAGGGACAAGAATAGACCGCTTCGTAATTGTTTTCCACCGCAATCGCTGTATTCACTGTGAGATTGCGAGAAACTACAGAGAAAATTATGAAGTGGCCTAATTGTATTGGACTTATTAGAGATAACTCATTTAAAATTGGTTTCCAACTTGAAGCTCTGTTAGTCATTGATAGCTAATGGAAATTATTTCAAAGTATTGACTTAAGCTGATCGATATCTTTGTCAATTGTCAATTTTGCTGATTCTTTGTTGACACTTGTGTTGAAACTAGCATTGGTTTCAACATATTTATCGATTATCATATTTAACTACCTGTAATTTACAGCTTTGCCTGCGTTAATTAAGATGGAAACTGACGTGTGATATTGTCTATTTATGCACCAAATTTCATTCAAATCTGTTAATACACGAATAACAACGAAACTTCCTTATAGGCTATTTGATTGAGTAGGGCAAGTTGCTTCGAAATAATTTTCATTACTCCGAGAGATATATATTTATATATATTAGCAGATCTCTTTCCGTTGTATACTTAGGTTATTTGTGTGTGTATATTTGTTTTAAATCTAGCGTAATAGATTAAATTGTAAATGTTTTTTGGTATTATGTAATGGACGTTTTAATATGACGAATCTTTAACTTCCACATTAAATACGTTATGATATATATTTGAAAAGTATGGTGAAAGTGCCAAAATTATACGAAATTGATTTGCAAAATTATTACACTATATTTCGTGTAACGGAACGCACATAACAAGCTAAATAGTGTGCGTGTAACGGAATATCGAAGTAGAGATATCTATCTACATATATATTTATATAGTCAGTGGATGCAAGTGGCTCAGGACCGTTCCTTATGGCGGTCTATGAGGGAAGTGTATGTTCCGCAATAGATGGATAATGGCTGAAATGACGATGATATAAATGATTAGTTAAATATGTTTTTAAGTTCGTCAATTTCGGCTATTTTATTTTTTCAAATATTCCTTGATGTTCGAGGAAGGTTCTTATAATGAGAAAATGGGGGGGAAATGCTCTGGAAAACGTAAAAACTCCAGTTTTCAACTCTGGCAGAGTTGAATTTTTTTTTTTAATAAAACAACTCAAAAGAACGCACTACAACAATATATTTGTTTTATTATTATATTTTTAGGGGTATATATATATTTTAGTTACAATATCTAAATACTGGCCCAATAACGAATATGTTTAAAGTCTGTTATCCAAAAATAATATTAAAGACAGACTTTTAAACATATTCGAAAATAGATATCCGACCGATATGGGCGATGACATTTTTTCCAATATATAGATATCGGATCGGTATCGATATTACTCATGATTACTCACTTCCACTGTTTACTTCAGGAAAGTTATTCATTTGAATGAATGTTTAGTTTTTTTGGCTTGTTATGTACATACCGTTACATTTATATTGTTTTTCTCTTTTACTTGGTAAATAAATTTGGTATTATTTTTTAACCGACATTAAGAAGCAGTTTTATAATTTGGCTATATATTAAGAGAAATTTTCGCTTGCAAGATTTCAATGATTCTTTTTTTTTCTACTGTGTCCCATATTTGTTACAATTGAAAATTTTATTTGTGTAAAAATTTTTAAATTGTAACGTAAGACTATTTTTGTAGTCTATTATAGTGTAACAAATAATAATTTAAAATTCTTTCATTCTAATATTTTTTTTGTTAGTAATTTTCTGTAAAAATAAATTCCAAGCGTATTTACCAAATAGAAAAAGGAAAAACAGATAATAAAAATTTTGGTTCTTCTATTTATATTATTCTTTCGTTTTTTTTAACTTCCAAGCGCTTTTACCAAAAAAAATATGTTTTTGTTTTCGATTTATTATACTGTAAATATTGATTAAATAATTAATAGAATTTAGTACAAAATCGGTGGAAGATTATTCATTATTTATAAAAATGTATTTAAAAATCTCAAATTGTCCTATTTTTTTTTTCTGTACGAGTACTGTACGCGAACGCCCTTGGTTTTGATCAGTGAAGCATTTAGATTTTTAATTATTGCTTTACGATTCACTCTGAGCTAATTAGCATACATATTTTGTTTTATTAGAACAGTAATTATATATATAATTGGATTGGATAATTTTTATTTAAATAACGTTATCTATATATAATAAAAGAGTGATTGATTGAGCTTAAATTGAATTGACTATAAATATTGCAGCTTTCTTGACATAATCACATGTGTCCAAATTTAATTCAATTATACCTACTGGGCACATAGAAGTATTGATTAACTTGAATTTGTCAATTTATAACATAAAAAAAGTATAAATGTGCATTTTAAAAACAGCTCTAGGTCTGCTTTACATCTATAAATTTTATTTATGTACTCACGTATCATAATTTAGCGGTCGATTAACAGTAACTCAGGGAATTTACATTTGCAAATTCAACGTTAAAAGTTTCGTTTGCATATTTATTTACGTATATATACTACTATAAATAATTGATTTGTTGATTAACTATTAGGTTGCTTACCAGAGATTTTACATTTGGAAATCCGTTGTAATTTTACTTATGTAATTTAATTAGGTGTCGTAACTTATTGGTTGATTAAACATAAGCATGGCCGTAGCTAGAGGGAGAGGGCATTGTAGGGCAATTCCCTACCTTAAAATGAAAGATTCCAAGAAAAATAGATTAGATATTCGAAGTCAATTAATTATGGCTTCTGCCCTACCAGAAAATTCTTTTGCCCTACCCTAAACTTGGTTCTAGCTACGGCCCTGACGATCAGTGATTTGAGAGTGTACATTTTCAAATTTATCATAAGTTAATATAGTAAAACTTACAGGCGGCCTTAGAGTTACTGAAATCCTCTAATTTTTAAAATTAACGAATTTTTGACGGTTTTCGGCCTCCATATTTATTTTAAACTGTCACATAACTAATGATAATCAAATTGTTCAGGCTACACGTTGCACCAAAGATTCAGATATAATTTAATATCTACATGGAGAAAATAATTACTTCTCGTTTTGCCTGTTGGGTAATTGTGAATTTTAGAGGCTTGTAATAGATTTACGGAGTATGTTATCAACAAGCTCATGTCCTAGATCAAAGTACATTAACATACGCGGTATCACTGATAGAATACTTTTCATATTATATACAATAGACTCTAATATATATATATACACTATCAATTAATTCATCCCATCAGTATCCATCATCATATCAGCCTTTAACTGTCCACTTCTGGGTTTTGCCTGTAGTTGCCACGCTTGGCAGTCAGGCTTTAGAAATGTTTTAAGAGGGACGCTACTGTCCATCCCTCGCCTTTGCTTAGTCGGCTCTTAAGACACCCACGGAAAAGGAAGGGCTGTCCTATACTATGCCGGGACTACACGGCTACATCAGTATCCATATTCAGTCTCATTTAAACCCATAGAACTAAACTATATCATTAGCGCAATTTTTTTTTTTACCACAAAGGTGGCAAAGAAACATACATAGCCCGTCTGATAATAAACGGTAAAAAGTAAAAGGGTACATCAAAAAACATAAATAAAACACTTTTTTGTTCTCTTTCGGCATTAATTCCTCTCTATGACATGTATACAAGCGGTGTCGCTATGGAAATGTATTTGTTTATAGCTGTTGTACAACAGAATGAGACCCCATATTTGAATATCGGTGTTGAGTGACAACGACGTAAAATCTACGTGTACACTAGAACTTGTTACATGAAGGATAATTTGCTGTTTTTTTTAATCAAGTGGGAAGGGGATGGGCCCAGTTTTTTAGTGTCCTAAAAAATATAAGAAAAGTATAGTGAATATTCGAAAAGTTGTATAAAATTAATTTACTGCACAATTAATTGAAACAAAAATATTTGTAAATAAAAACTAATCTGTGTTCATTCATTTAATGTTACATAGATAGATACTCTTTATTGTTTCCTCCAAAATATTACAATAGTAAACTTATTATATAAATATAAACAATTACAAGAAATGTTCAAATATTTTAACAATTTAAATAATTTAGTTAATTAAATATGGGCCCAGACTCCCATACATTTGTTAAATATCTTCAATTTACCCTTTCTAAGTAATTTGTCTAGTAGTCATGTGACACAGTTTTATCCATAACATCGGCAGCATTATCCATTAAAGAATAAATTTATTCACATTGGTATGATAAATTCCAATGGAGTGTATAAAACTAGCATATCTCAGATAATACAATAACATAATACTAGTCTTAAAGCGAGGTACACATACTACATCCTCAAACTAATGTTTATAGCTTTACATGGTACATACTATTTCTAAATTCGAGGATTTCATATAAATGATGTTGATTATTCTACTGAGCGTGCAACTAGACCAATAAATTATGAGTTTTATTTTCATGTAAATACATTTTGTATTATACTGTATAAATATATTTTACTACAAGGTCGGAACTCTATGGTGTTTGTTAATTATCAATTATATGTGCAGTGCACCTAATTGGTACCATCATGGTCATTTAAGGTCACTACAGTCTACTATTGGCCATACATATTTATATGGTACGGTTTTAGAACCTAGAATGAACAAAGGCATTGTATTGCTTCACTTGTATAAATATATATAAAATTATATTAAATCCAGTTTTTAACACCTATCGCATTATTATAAATTTTGATCAAATATGTGTATATGTAGGTTCTATAATAAAGAATTAAAGGTTCCGACCCTGTAGCGAAAATATTGCGATTCTGTTAAAAATATTAAAATATCATTCTAATATGTAACTGCTAGAGCTTACAAGAGGCGAAGATTGTTGAAAGTTTGAAATAAATTTATACATAATATCTATCTTCTCCACCAAAATGTATATAAAAGGCAGTGTAAATTATTTCATCTGAGAGAATTTCAATTTAATTTTATATGTGTATATATATAATGTTTTCTTCCAATTCTTTTTTTTTTTTATTTATTTTTTTACTATATTCTATATTAACTATTGATTGTCCAGTTTCTCACTTATTTGAGTTTAATTAAAAAATATAGTGACTTTTAAAAATCAAATTGAAATACTTTCGGATGGGTACTTAATTGCCGTTGCGTGTAATTAATATTTAATAATACAACGTAAAGTGTTACAGTCATCATGATTATGTTGACTCTAACATAAAGAAGGCACAGGCCTCAAATGACGTTTAACGAGCCCGCAGTAAACTATTCGCCTTTCGCCATTATAGTTCTACAAATGAAATCAATTCGAGAATTCCCGCCAATTTTTTTTTTCATGTCATCTAGAAAAAAATATCGATGAGTGATGTCGTTAAAAGTTCAAAATGTTCAAATAATCTGTGGGGTGAATTGTCTAATCGAATTGGGATCGAATCAAAATCATATCGATTAAATAATAAATATTACTTTATATTTCACGTCTATTCGATTTGATATCAATTCGATAACAAAAAGTCATTCCTTATTTTGTAAATAATCTTGGCGTGCCTTTGTTTGAAATTACAAATTCCTAAATACATATTTAATATAAAGTACCTTTCTATGTTAGCTACTATTTTACTCACTGTAATTTCTTTAAAAGTGCATGCCATTCAACTAAATATGCGAGCCAATTTTAAAAAACATTGCACGGCCGAATTATAATATAAGGTATCGAAACAAATTTCGTAATATTACTTCTAATTGGACTTTTAGCGATTTTGTAGAACCATATGAAAAAATTTTGCAGCGGACTTTTGCAGTCTATCGAATCGATGAATAGTTTACTGTCAAAACTTGTTATGATATACATCACTATTGTATACAGTTTGTTAAATGATATCTGATAACGCGTTCGATTCAAACGATACATGCGTTTGAATATATGTTTGATTGTAAACTGTATACTTTACTATGTGTATTAATTGTCATTGAATGCCGTGGAAATTGTGAATTTCCAATCGCTTTAATCGCGTTTAGCCTTCACGTCATTAAGTCGAACGTTTGTTAAAGTGCACTTAATAATGGAATGAACCAAAAGATTATATAATTTTATAATAAAGTGTTAGAAGTTTATGAAGTAGTCGGCGTTAAACAAATTTTGTATGACGTTACACGGATGCCGGCCGGAGATATTGCATTGTAATAAATATACCATTTTAACATTATACTATCGTTTTATTTATGTTAAAATCTTTATCAAAAAATATTATTAAATATGAATTATTTGTATGTAACTACCATATTCATACCATACCATATTAGCCATTAACTGTCCACTAGTGAATACAGGCCTCCTATTAGGAGGCTCCGCCAGTAGTTGCCACGATTGTCAGGCGAATTGTTAACCGCAGCTAGGCTCTGATGTTCTAAGAGGAACGCTGTTGTCCAGTCCTCGATCATTTAATTCTTTTAATCGCCTCTTATGACACCTACCGGAAAGGAAAGGGTGGCCTATTTTATGCCGGGACCCTATGGCAGCATATAAATAGTCGATACTAATCGACCTCTTTGGGGTTCCCCCTGAAAACTATCATGGTTAATTCCTGATGAATTCATCATGATAGGATAACTGACCTGTTTTCACTCTCACCAGTCGCCCTATACTGGTGCTCCGCCAACGTATGCCGTTAGCGCAGGCGGCGTTACCATACCATTTTCACACATCAAAAAAAAATACCATCTATGATATTTTTCTGTTGAAAATATTTCCTAAGACAACAACGATTTAGAAAAAATATGTACATACCATTTTCTAGTTTGTATTTGGAATGTAAAATTTTAATAAATGTAGATTTTCGTTTAAATACATTTACACATACGGACGTATCAATTCTATAAATAAAATGGGTTCAATACTCCACTGGTTCACATAAATGTACATATTTTTGACCATAACGATTTCATATTAAAATAAGCTACACGTCTTAATTTTTTATTATTCCTTCGACACTATAAATATATAACGATGATTTGATAGATAAACATAATTCAGAATGTGTTTAAAAAAAATTGGTGGCAAAACTAGTTTTTTTTTTTATTTTAAAATTAAATTACTCAATAGATTTTGATAAAATTTCTATGGAACCAATCGGTAAGTATATCCTTTGAAATAAAAAAAAGAATTTTCCAAAACAGTTTATAATTGACAAAATTTTGAGAAAATAAAAAAAAAAAACTAATTAAGAACCTCCTTTTTGAAGTCTGTTGATAATGTCATCAGTAATTAAAAGATGCATTACAATCATCACATCTTTGCCGATTTGTAATAAAGGGCCGACTGAATTTAAACTATCAACTTGATGGTAAACACTGTTAACTATGAAAAAGTCTATTTGATCTGTTAAAAGAGCGGTAGTTTCAAGCCTGAAGTAGCATCTTTGTAATGCATATCTACCATAATAGAATGCATCAATGTAATTACGGATTGCATTTCATTTTGCCTTCTGAGTCACACAAAACTTCCTGCTCATTTGCTTACGTTTGTGCAACTGATGAAGAAGATAAGATAAACCCGAAATCTGTTGTCATAAGTTGAAAATTTAAATGCAATTGAAACAACTTGTTAATGCAGTATACTTGGTTTTTGTTTCATTCATGTAAGGTAATTCGCTAACAATGTGGTGTCTGCACGAAGCGATATCTATTTACTACTAGCTTTATTCCACGGTTTAGCCAACGTGAATCCATACATAAAAGTATCTTAAGTTTAAACTTAGTAACCTACGCCGTGTATAAAACATTCCATTCCGTTCAGTAGTTCTTAGTAAGAGTGTAATAAATATCCATCTATCCACTTTTACAAACTTTTACATTAATAATATTAATAGGATTTAATAGCGCTTCCTAACTAGCTAGTAAGTTGAATGTAAAAAAAGAATGAGTGGTTTTATTACATCACAGCTGTTTATTTCTGTTTCTGTGTTTCGCCTTTCGACAGAGTTAAAATAATAACATTAATATTTATGGCAAAGCATAGATAACATAATTTGACATTAATTGGACGTTGCCATGTTACTTTACAAAATATTTATACTTTTTTAGTAATTTATAATATTTTTGTGTCCAAACTAGTTATGTTGCCAGTCTTGAGTAGCTATAAATTAATTGAAACACCCTTATAATTAATGGAGCGAGTAGTGAAGTACAAATGAAATATTATTGTTTTTATACTTTTTTAAATTGTTATTAGGTAGGAGTAGAGACTTCAAAATTTAAGTTTCAAGATTCGTTATTTGAAATTATTTTATCTATTTTTTTTTAATGAAATTTTGTTTTCATTTATTTTCACTAGATTTATTTATTTAACTATTTTTTTTTATTAATTATACTCTTATATGTATGGTACTGTTTATGTCTATAGTCAGTGGTTAATATTTTCCATCAGGTAGCTCGTTAGCTTCTCTGCCATTATTCTAAGTTGCATACAAAAGTAACTATTTTATTTAACAATAATTTAAAATAATGGCGTAATTTTTATTAATAATATCCGCCCGCGCTATCGGTATACACCGACGAGGCTCCAGTGGAAGATGATAAATGAGAATGAATGCAGGTCAGTTGGCCCACTATAATGAATTCGATAAAAATGAATCATGATGGTTTCCAGGGGGAACCGCGTGGAGGTCGACCTGAGAGGGTCAATTGCTAGCAATGGGGCTATTAGATCTCATTACTAACAATCCTTTTCCCCCCTAATGACATAATTAGGTTTTGCTTCTTACGTTTTATTTGGTTGAAACTTATTTCATTCAGTAATTTGCTCTTTTTTAAAAGATAATGACCAGGTTAAGCAAATACAATATTGGTTTAATACGTCATTACGATGGACATGCATACCATATTATTAGATAATGATGATGATAGATGTAATTCTTTATAATTAATCGCAGATTTTCAACTAAGTAATTCATATTTTGAAACATAAAAATGAAGAATTTTAATTTATATACGTAAAATAATATTTTATTTTAATTAAGTGCTACTAATTTTTAGTTTAAAATCTTATGGTGGACATTAGTCCATTATAACTTTATAGGACTGCTTAACGTTTTCGCCTTATTGGTTTGCTATAGTGTGTTTATGAATAACACTTTCCTATTATTGGTTTATGTGAAAAGTTATAATATAGTGCATTTATGAATAAATATTTTTATAATTACATTATTTCTTTGTTACTGAAGGCTTATAAACGATTAATATTTTTTGTAAACAAAAAGGTTAAACACGAATAATAGTAAAAATTTATTGACTGTAGTAATAAACTTATTTATTTAGTGGCAACACTGAGAATGGCACTGTGGCAGACGTCAGTGAGAAATGTTGGATATTGTGTTAGAAAAAAATATAATTAATTTGTCAACCTTTTGTGTTATTAATTATGTGAATAATGAGATTAAAGTGTAAATAAATGTTAGAATAGTGTATAATAGTGATTATGGCGCATAGTGGTGGTGTTTTAAGTTCGGATATTTCGCGTCGGAATCCACAAGATGAATATGAACTTATTCAGAGGATTGGTTCGGGCACATACGGCGATGTCTATAAGGTAGGGGCCTTTCTAAACTCTATTTTTTTGAGAACGCTTTATAATCATAAGTATATCTCTGATTCGCAATTACAAGGTGACTTAAATGAAGTGGTTTGACTCTTTGCGGGAGTGTGTTGTATTTCTATTGTGGAACTCTTCTTTTTATTATTACGTTTCTTTTTGTATTATCTCTTTATTGGTGCAGGTGTATTTTTGATAAACAACACGTGTATGTGTATGCCAACCTTGAAACGTAAATTCAGGCTAAAATCCCACCTAAAAATTATTATTCAGTTCACATTTGCTTTGTCTTCCACAATACATTGAACATTCTATATTGCCTATGATTGTTTTATTGCTCTATAAACAATAAATATTTTTTTATTGCTGTAAGTAAAAATAGTTGTGTGTTTATCATTATGTCTACACTCATATTTTTTTTTTATTTTTTTTTTATTGTAAATGTATTAAACAAACACATGATTGCATGTGTGATTATTGAAAAACATCACAAAAATCCATTAAATATGATAAAAGACAAATAAGTTGACAGCAAACGGATCAAATAAAAAAAAAACAGTAATTGTCTACATCTTAAAATTCCTGTACCCATATCTGACTTCTAAGTAATAGTCCTCAATCATTTACATTTACTGATTCCTTGTAAGCTATTTGAAGTTATATAATTATAGAAATTCTTGACTGTTTTCTACATAACATTGTAAGTTGTTTACTAGATACCTCTGTTCAACTCTTTTATTTTTACTGTGAAGCGTTTGTGCTTACATGGCTATGCTTTGCTTTGAACAGTGAGGTGTGTCTGTGAAACGACAGAAGCAGCGGGGATAAGGAATTGCTAACAATGGGGACTAGTCACTCCATTGCTAGCAATATACCCTGCAGCTGATCTTCTTTTATCTTCATCTATTATTCCTCACTGGTACTCTGTCAGTATGTGCTAGTTGTGTGACCGAAACAGGTTTTACAGCTGAAACCAAAACCAAACTTTCGGCCTTAGTCTCAGTTTCGGTTGAGGCAGAAACTTACTGAAACATTTCAAATTTCTCATTTATACTGAAATCTAGTGTATTTTTAAACGCAATTATTTACATAAACACACAGATAGTTAAAGAGTAATAATAAACACTAATTAAAATGTGTAACAAATATGTCATATATATTTATATGTAAAAACATGTTAAAATTATTACTAACTCTTGGAAGTTAACTTTTCAGTTAGACACACACACAAAGTTTCGGTGCGGTAGAAAGTTTTGGCCGAAATCGAAATGAAGGCCAAAAATAAAATGTCTTGCTGAAACTAAAACCGTAAATTCGGTCGGACACTAGTATGTACTAATAACATAAAATGGTTACTATTAAATATTCATCCATTTAAATTAAAAATAATTTAAAATTATGTCTCACAAAAATAAAGAAAATTCTGTGGCACATTAAAACTGACTTCAATTGTGACAAAACCAATTATTTTGGTCTAAAAACTAAACTACCCAACCAAATTTAATAAAATTTCTATGGGACCTATTTGTAAATCAGATAAAAAAAGAATTTTTCAAAATGTTTTAGAATTAACAAGAGTTATGAGGTAACGAACATAAAAAAATATAACCGAATCGAGGATCTCTTTTTGAAGTCGGTTGCAAAAAGCATGAAGGCATAACATATTATATTCCTAAGGAATTATTACAATGCATGAAGTGTATTATGGCCATATTATATTCTTTGATTCCCATGGTGCTGTTTATGTTTATAGGTGATAGTTACCAATTTACATCAGTTGGATTATCACTTTGTTATCTCAAGTTACAAAAAAAAAAAGTCTGTCTATTATTAAAGTTACCTCACAGTTATGCTGAAAATAGTTAATTTACATACAATTTAAACTGTTAATTATACAATACTCTGAAAATGAAGGTGAAACACTCTGAAATAATGTAACCTACATTTACAAGAAATTTACATTCTTTGTTGCAAGTTTTTGTGTATGTAATTATGTAATTTGAAGTTGTTTTCAACATTGCACAGTAATTAGCTCATGTGTGAGTAAAATGGGTAAACAACTAACTGTTTCTCCTGACTTTCTCTGTGTTAAAGTGTTGCTTTCTGGTCCTCTGCTTATTTCTTATTATCATAGGGAGACTTCATATAAAAGTCATTTGGTTTTTTATACAATTTTGAATGGCATAAGAATTGAAAGTCTGCTGCCAATGGAAAATGGTAGATAATTATGTCTCATATATAGACATGTACAAAACCATGGATATCACATGAATGTGCTGTGATATACATGGAACCCCTCATTAGTCCCAAGTTCACTAATTCATCTAAATTGGTAAGAACAAAACTAGTTATAGTTTGTTATAGGTATAGTTGGCGGAGTGCTGGTGGAGCACCAGTAAAGGGTGATAGATGAGAATAAAAACAGGCCAGTTAGCCCATCATGATGAATTAATCAGGAATTAACCATGGTAGTTTCCAGGGAGAACCGCGAGGAGGTCGACCTGGTTGGGTATATTGCTAGCAACGGGATTCTCAGTCTCCATTACTAACAATCCCTTTCCCCCCAATTAGACATGGTTTTTTTATGTCACTAGAAATGGGTTTTTTTATTTGATGATAATAGTATGGTAACCTTGTCTACGCTAACGGTATATGTTGGGGGAGGGGAAATATTGAGGGATGATAGGTGAGGATGAAATGACAGGTTAATTTGTCTATCGTGATGAATACACCTGAAATTCACCACAATGGTTTTCAGGGGCGTTCACATGGAGGTCAACGTGACAGGGTATTTTGTTAGTAATAAGTCTGGTAGTTTGCATTACTAACAATCCCCTCCCCTCTCTCGATAAGGTATATTGCTAGCAATGGGAGTAGTAGTCCGCATTACTTACAACCCCCCCCCCCCTCCCCTCCCAACGTCTATAAATGGTAACCGATCGAACGGACGCGCCATGTTAAGTGTGGAACTATCAAACATTTTTGTCGTGTTTTTTTTTTTTTACAACACGGGGCAATCAAACATGCGGCTCACCTGGTGCTAAGTGACTACCGCCGCCCATGATCACCCACAACACCAGCGGCATTACAGGTGTGCTGCCGGCCTTTTAAAAAGGAATATGCTCTTTTCTTGAAGGTTATCGGTTCGGAAATACTGCTGCTGGAAGTGTTTTAAGCAATGTTTAATTAATTGGTATTTTAATTTCACTAATTGAAAACATTCTTAAAATGATACTTATTATGTCGATTTGAACCTGTATAGTTAGTTAGTTAGTTAAACGGATAGGAACATAATTTCTGAGTTCGTTAACACCTCCGGTCAACTAGTCTAACGTTACGAAATGACAAGCAAACGTCACGATGAGTCATTTTGAATCGCCTCATACTGAATTAATCAAGGCTCGACTTTCGATGTGTTCTGTTTAGTTTTTTTTTTAACAACAATGAAGGTAACTGGTGATCATGGGAGTATTTAATGGTGGATCAGATGAGCCGTGCACATCCCATAATTGTCTAGTGCCTATCCCAGAATGCGAGTGGAGCTTTCAGCTGTGATCAAAGACTTGTAGCTGAGAGGAAAAGGGATTATTAGTAATGAGGTGTAACTACCACATTGGTAGCTGTATATCTATCAGCTATATATATAAAGATACTAGCTGACCCTGTAAACGTTGTTTTGCCATATACATTATTTCTATTACTAGAAAATAGTTTTTTTAGTTCAATCAAAAATAGCTAACACTATAATATGTTAGGATTATTGAAGTTGTATGTATTTTTCAATGCTAAATCATATTTAAATAAAAATAAAAAATTTTGTAAAAAAATTAAAAAAAAAATTATGGGTGGATTTCCCTTATCATTGAGGGGTATAAAAAATAGATGTTGGCCGATTCTCAGACCTACTGAATATGCACACAAAATTTCATGAAAATCGGTAAAGCCGTTTCAGAGGATTTTGGTAACAAACACTGTGACACGAGAATTTTATATATAAGATAGCTATTAGGTCGACCACCATATGGTTCCTTCTGTAAACTATTAAATTTGTCACAATGGGCTAACTGATCTGCTTCGGGGGAAAGGGATTGTTAGCAATGGAGTTTGACAGCCCCATTGCTAGCAATGTGCCCTATTACGTCGTCCTCCATGTGGTTCCCCCTGGAAATCATTGTGAACAATTCTTGTTGAATTCGTCACGATGGGCTAACTGACCTGCTTCATCCTCACCTATCATCCTTCACTGGTGCCCCGCCGGTGTATACTGATAGCGGAGAATGGTTACTATTTCATTTTAACCTATTAAACATACGTTTGTAGTTAAGTATACGTCGTTATTTAAGGGGCCAGGCCTCCCCTGGAAATTAATTTTAATTACGCTACTGTCGATGTGTATAACACGGCCGGCCAGATGGTATATGACCGCCGCAACCACATCGTCATGCTATCTTAGACGTCACACTATGTGAAGAGAGGAAGGAATTGTAAGTAATGCGGACTACTAGTCCCATTGCTAGCAATATACCCTCTCAGGTCGACCTCCACGCGGTTCCCCCTGGAAACCATCATGTTTAATCCTTGTCTAATTCCCTAATTAATATACCCTGTCAGGATGACCACGTCCTCCCTGGAAACCATTGAGCTGAATTCCAGGTGCATTAATCACAATGGGCTAACTGCCCTGCCTTTTCATTCTCACTTATCCTTCACTGGTGCCCCGCCAGCGTATACCGTTAGAGCAGGCGGTACCCCATTCCATTATCGTACATTAAAAAAAAAAAGTATATACTATGTTGTCCATAGTTGTGTTCAGGTCTATAGGCGCTGCTTATGACATTCCAAATGAGGCGTCATATTGCATATTACTTTAAGTAACACAAAAAGCCTCACATCGTGAACGCTAGTAATTCCAGAGGCCTTCCGTTTATACCTGTAATTTTTTACGCAATTATACCCATAGCAAATAGGGTTTGACGTTGCTTAGGTTTTTTTTTTAT